CAATGATATGAGTAGAGATGATGTTTTCCATTTAATTTCACACGGCTTTGCTTTTTCAAAAGGTTCTCTTACCCAGCCAGAAGTTGACTGCAGTTTAGACCTTGCATAGGTCTTATCAAAATCCCGAGCGGGAGTCGATCCATGACACTTTAGCGTGCAACCTCGATACGTTAACATTTACTTGACTTTTTGGTAAATTAGAGCTCCAGTCGGCCTAGTTCACGAAATGAAGAGAGACTGATAATTGAATTTTTCCAAAATCATATGAATAGGCCTCACGTTTCCATTACATTTCACATAGCTATCGATATGAGAACAAAGATGTTGTGGCCTTTATTTTGGTCACAGTCTCCTTTCGACGTATAGAAGTGCATACAACTAGAACATACGTACAATGCGACCAAGTTGCGAAAATGAGGTTGGACCACATAAAAATACATTCACATTCATACATCCAGATTGGCCTATGACATGAGCAAGTTAAATCACTATATATATATATATATATATATATATCGCTTTACATACATTATGTAAGAAATAAATTATATCATACCTCATAATATTTAATTATGCTAAATTTTCCGAAAAAAATTAAGCCCTGGTTATGTATATAGATAATTTGAGCCAATAAAATGTATGATTTGTAGTGCAATTTAGTATGTTCATATTATATGTGCAACTAATAACAGGTAAGTCTACCCTTGAGTGCTATGATGATTTGGTTTGTTCATATCACATTTAAAGTAAGAAACATCTAATTTAGTAAACTTGTATATTTGATATATATTTTTATATATTTCTATAAACATAATTATATATTGTGATTCTGTTTGCTTACGCCATTTGCCAACCTAGAAACATGTAATAGAGTGTACTTTTGTGTATGTTTTTTGATTCTCATATGACAAAAAAACAAATTCACAAATTTTACAAAATTAAATTATGTTGAAGTATCCATTTATATGTTTGTTGTATGCATAGTCATATATATATATATATATAAGATATTT